GAGAGAGAGAGAGAGAGAGAGAGAGAGAGAGAGAGAGAGAGAGAGAGAGAGAGAGAGAGAGAGAGAGAGAGAGAGAGAGAGACGGTGGGGGGGGGAGGCTTGGGGTTAAGCAGAAGTGGCGTGGTGGAATGGAACTGGGGAAGCTGGGAGACGATTTGCTACGGAATATTCTCACGAAGCTTCCATTCAATGAAAGAATCTTCACCGCACCCTGTGTATGTCGTCAGTGGTTGAGGGTGGCGCGGGAGCCGGAATGTTTTCGAGAGATCGACACGAGGGAGTGGGCGGAGAGGCAAGGGCTTTTGCTACATGACACCAGGTGGCGCAAACCCGTTATTATCGGTGGTCGGTCCATCCCCGCCCGTGCGGATGCTATGTTGAAGAAGGTGGGTGAGCTAAGCAGAGGTCAGGTGGAGACGTTGATCCTTCAGTATTGCACTACGAAGGGGATGATGGCTGTTTGTGCTGGGCAGACGAGCCTCAGGCGTCTAGAACTTTGGTCTGTGTTCGCTTCCCTTAACCAGCGGTGGATTGATCATTTGCTGAGATCATGTCCGCAATTAGAACACTTAAAGATTGGTGACGTCACCTTTCCAGACTCTTTTAGTCGATTCTCGTTTTGCAGACCTCACCCTTACTCCCCTTACTCTCCTGTTCCTCATCGAATCCCCTCTTCTCTCCTCACAAGTGCCGCCCTCGGCGACGATTCTGTAATCGACGAGAGTGATTCCGTCGTGTGGATGGAACCGGCCCAGAATACGTGTCGCAATCCCCTTCCTCCCAGATTTCGTTCTCAACCGATTCAACCGGTGCTCTTGCATGGTGGTTGCGCGGAGGAGGAAGACAGTGACGACGGATCTGATGGGCAAGGTGGAGGAGGGGGAAAGGAAGGGGAAAGAGAGGGCCGGGGTGGCGATGAAGGGTCTGTGCAAAGCGATGAAGTGGGAGGAGGAGAAGGAGGAGGAGGAGGAGGAGGAGGTGAAATGGAGAGAGAGGAGGGGCGGCGGGGTGATGAAGGCTCGGCGGGGATCGATGGAGTAGTAGGAGGGGAACATGAGGAAGAAAGCGATGAAGGTTCTGGGGGGCAAGATGAAGATGGAGGAGGAGGAAATAGCGTGGACGTAGATGGGCAGGATGATGACGAGGGGTCGGCGGCAACTTCACCCACAAGCCATGAAGCGGGAGGAGGAGGAGGAGAAGGAGGAGGAGGAGGAGGAGGAGGAGGAGGAAAAAGTGATGAAGTGCAACGAGAGGAGGAGGGGGGTGATGAAAGTTCTAGGGCGAGGAGGCAGGAAGAAGCAGGAGGAGATGAAGTTGAAAGAGAGGGGCGTGGTGATGACGTACTAAGGTGTTCGCCTGTCCATGGAGAAGGAGGAGGAGGAGGAGGAGAGGGAGGAGGAGGAGAGGGAGGAGGAGGAGGAGGAGGAGGAGGAGGAGAACATGAGATGGAAAGAGAAGAGCCTGGGCGGGGTGATGAAGGTTCTGCGGCAAGCGATGAAGTGGGAGAAAGATGCGGACGAGGAGGAGGAAATGAAGGGGAAAGAGAAGAGCCTGGGCGGGGTGATGAAGTAGCAGTCGAAGAAGCCAGGGGAAAAGGACGGGAGGTCGTGAGTGATGGTGGTGAGGAGGAGGAGGAGGAGGAGAAGGAGGATCTTGTGACCGTCTTCTCAGTCTATACTTGGTGGCTGTCGCCGGCTGGTCGCCCTCAAAGGCTCGTTTTCCCCGCACGCCCTCCTCCAACCATTGACGATGAAGATGAAGACGATGATGACGGTTCTTCTTCATCTTCATCCAGCTCATCTTCATCGAACGGCGAAGAGCAGCAGACCGATCTCCAGATGCGGGGAGGTAATCATCAGGAGGAAGGAGGGCAAGGGCATGATGACGTAGTGGATCCTGTTGCTACGACGACGGCGTCGGCGGCTGCCTCTGGCCCGCTAGAAAATTATGATCTTGATGTCTCATTACGTCATCATACCGTTGATGGATTGTCAGTCCTGAGCATCGCCAGGAGCTGTCCAAATTTGAAGACGCTTCATCTCACATCAGCTCCCGGCAGCGAAGGTTGTCTGACTGACACCTCGATGATTGCCTTAGTCGAAGGATGCACTGGACTGACCGATCTGTCTCTTACCTCACCCGCCTATCCCTTCCTCATCTTCTCCGGAGATGCCGAGCAGCCGGAGTGCGCCGCCATCCGCGCCCTTGGGGGATGCCAGCAACTGCGAAACCTCTCTCTCTGCAGTTTGCCGCTGCCGGCCTTCGATGCCTTACAAGATGATAATGGGTGCTGCCCTCTGTTATCTTCTTTGTCTCTGACTTCGCGAGAAGAGTGGTATGACCTAAACCTATGGCATTCCTACTTCCGTTGCACTAGACGTCGACAGCTGACATCTCTGTGCGTGATAGATAGCATCTACTTCGGCGACTCTCAGCTGGAGGCGGCAGTGACAGAGTGTTTGGGCTTAACAAAACTCGACGTGAGCGGCACGCGGGTGTCCGACTGGGGGATCGCTGCAGCGGTGCGGAATTGCGCTCACCTGCGAATACTTAGCGCATCTCGGTGTAGATACGTCACCGACGAATCAGTTAGGCTTGTGGCGGCTGCAGCTGGGCGGCAGCTGCGCGAGCTGTGTTTCGACGACACCAGCGTCACACACAACGCCTTGTCTTCTCTTGCCTGCCTGGGAACACACACATCAGGACTTGTTAGGCTTCTGCTCTATGGATCTCTAGTCGGAGGAGGAGGAGGAGGAGGAGGAGGAGGAGGAGGAGGAGAAGGAGTCTCTACCTTACCTTCCTTGGAATCTTTGAGAAGTTTAGAGGTCATTCTTCAGCGCCATGCCCATCTGGAGGAGGTGGGTTTGCGCATCTTCGATCCGTTGTTGGATGCGCAGCAAGCGGAGTGCATGGAGTTGATGTGGGGACAAGCCGTGGCGGCGCGAAGCGTCGCTGAGGTCCTATCGACGCGGGTGAGCGGCGCTCTGCCTGAGAAAGGGGGATTGCGGAGCAGCAACAAGAGGAACGATTTTGAGTATGGCTGCGAGTCCGGTGTAGATGATTGGGAGCCTCGTCTTCCCGCCTGGCAGTGCTGTGGTCCTTTCCTTCGTTGCCTCTCTGCAGTGGGTCCGTCCTTACGCAGCCTGCATCTCTATTGCGACCCGAGAGCGCTTTTCGCCGACTTCGAGGAAGGATTTCTCGGTTTCCTCAGCTCCTGCCCCAATCTCCTCTCTCTCAGATTGACAGGGTTCGCCCAAGTAAGCGATGCCATCGTGTACAAGCTGGGGGCTCTGTGTCCTTCGCTCGAGCATCTCGCCATAGCTGGCTCTCGAATACCCTTCTGGAAAGGTATTGAGCACCTGGCGGTCACAAGCCCCAGACTCAAGTCGTTCGAGTACCGTCCCGGCCATTACAAGGACGTCCTCTTAGACGAAGCCTACGAGCAGGTGACACGTGTGAGGAGGGGAAGCTATAAATAACCTACTACCGGCTTCCGCCAAGCTGCCTTCTTGCCCCGAACACAAACGCACGCACCCTCATTGTGATCCGCCAGGTGCTCGATAGCTTTCCAGAAGGGTATTCGAGCGCCTGGGGCCAAGTCCCACTTACCCGAATGATCGATTTCTGAGCGCAGATTCGGAAGATCAACGACCCAAAATCAAGGATCAGCGTAAGTGGGACTTGGCCCCTGGAAAGCTCGTTTCTGGCCGGAAACATAACTTGTATACGTTCCATTTCAGGGTGCGTTATGTTGGGGGAAGACGGTAGTGACGCTGGGGGATTTGTGTCCTTCGCTTCACGATGTACAAGGGTATTCGACCGCCTGGAAAGCTCATTTCTGGCTGGAAACATACCTTGTATACGTTCCATTTCAGGGTCCGTTATGTTCGGGGAAAGACGGTAGTGACGCTGGGGGATTTGTGTCCTTCGCTTGAGCATGTACAAGGGTATTCGACCGCCTGGAAAGCTCATTTCTGGCCGGAAACATACCATGTATACGTTCCATTTCAGGGCGCGTTATGTTCGGGGGAAGACGGTAGCGACGCGATCGTCTAAGAGCTGGGGGATTTGTGTCCTTCGCTTGAGCATGTACGGTGTGGGGAGCTCCTGCATTGTCACAAGACCCAGACTCAAGTCGGTCGAGTACCGTCCCGACCATTGCCACGGGCCCACGGGGACATCCTCTTGGATTGGGCAAAGCCTGAGAGCACAGGGTAGACAAGTGAGGAGGAAAGTTAAACCTGTTGACCTACCTGCTTCGCCCAGTTAGTGGGGTGCCATGGTTTACAAGCAGGGGGATCTGTCGCCTTTGCTAGAGCATCTTTTTTTTTTTTTTTTTTTTTTTTTTTTGGATGTGCTAGAGCATCTCGCCATGGCTGGGTTCTAAATTTTTTTTTTTTTATTATTATTTTTTTTTAATACCCTTGTTTTCTCCAAGGTGTCGAGCACCTGACTGTGGGCTGTCACAAGCCCCACCCACACTGAAGTCTTTCCAGTGCCATGATCGCGACCAATTACAGTGACGTCCTCTTAAAGGAAGCATATGAGCTGGCTGCCTATATCAGGAGGAGAAGCTATTAATAACCTATACCGGCTTCCGCCAAGTCTGTGACTCCATCGTGCACAAGGTTAGGTTAGGGCCCTTAGGGATTGCTGTCCTGCGCTTGAGCATCTAGGGTGAGGAACTCCTGGCTGTCACAAAAGTCCCAGACTCAAGTCTTTGCAGTACCGTCCCGACCCTTACAGGGATGTTCTCTTGGACGTAGCCTACCGTCTTCCCCTGAACATAACGCAACCTAAAAATGAATGTATACAAGCTATATTTCTGGCCAGATGCAGCCAAAATAAGAGTGCGTTGTGTTCAGGGAAAGATGGTAGGAGTAGGTTAGACATGTGAGGATGAGAACCAATTAACATACCCTCTTCCCCCGAATACAAAGCAGGGTCATGATCGCTGTATTTGGGCCAAATGTCCATCAAGATTCAGAGATAATATCCCGGTTAGCTACGTGAGGAATACACCCTCGTAACCTATTTTTGTGGTGGGGGTGCGACAGGGAACATTAAGAGGTGGAAGGGAGGGGTGTCTTGAGGGAGTGAGCAAGAGATAAAGAAGGAGGGGGAAGGGGCAAGGGGGGGGGGAAGAAGGAAAGGCAGTGTATGATACTAGTTGCAATTTTTTTTTTAATTATTATTTTTTAATGTAGTTGCAAATTTATGTGAATGGAATTCGCATCACTTACATCCCCTCTTCTTCTTTTTTTTTTTTTTTTTTTTTAAGGTTTCGACGACTCCTTTCTATTGGTGGGGAGCTGCACCTGCTGGAAATCGGGTCCAGCGTCCCTTCCAATGGAAAAAATATCCCGTAACTTCTCAAAGTTCAGAGACTCTCTGGGCTATCAGCGAAAACTGGAACCTCTTCACCCTAAGGCGTCTGAAATGAGTTAGCATCTAGTCCCACTGCCCACTGTACCCAGACTTGTAACAACCAATTCTGAGGATCACAAAGTTCCCCAATTAGCTCAACAAGTGAAGACTAGCCCCTAGATAATGATCAACATAGCCGGAGCAAGCCTATCCTTTTGGCAACTGCCTTTGGTTCTATCAATAACCACTTCATGGAGGTGTGTGACCCCTCAGCGAATGTTCAATGATCCCTCTGCTCAATGATGTTCAGTGATTCAATTCTCTCTCTCTCTCTCTCTCTCTCTCTCTCTCTCTCTCTCTCTCTCTCTCTCTCACACACACACACACACACACACACACACACGTTCTCTCTGCACCAAGGAATTCTCCAATCCCTTCTCTTCCCCTGCCAGTTACGAGCTTTTTCAACACTGTTGTCTTCGGCCTCCTTCCGCTCACTGCCTTTCATGTCGTTGGCACCTTTGGAATCCACACTCCTGTCTTCACTTCTCTTCTTAACCCAATAGACAGTACCGCCCAGACCCGCGCTATCATCTTCCCTTTCTTCATCTCCAGTCTTCTGATTCCAACAATTCATATCATCATCATCATCATCATCCTCATCATCATCATCATCACCATCATCGTCACCATTTTGAGGTGATTCCAACGGTTCCAATGATTCATTATCCGCATCATTATCATTATCCCCAGTCTTCTGATACCAAAGATTCCAACCATTCATATCACCATTATCATCATCATCATCATCATCATCATCATCATCATCATCATTAACATCATCATTATTAGCATCATCATCATCTCCCCCTGAACTGTGAATATCATCCCGTGTATTCCTCAGATCGACATCATTTGCTCTCAACACCTCACCATCACCTTTTTGAGGCCGATGGCACTGCCCTATCACACAGACCCATCTTAGTTCACACCCACAGATTAAGCACYGCACGTTCAACTCCATCAGAATCCCTCCRCTGTTTCTTCAAACTATCCTTAATCTGCCAGASCTCCTGGCTCTTRCTGTGGYYGACTCTCACTTTCGTTCTTGTAGCCACCGCTTCTWYATTCAATGGAGGACGTACCTARTCTCGGTCTTGAAAAYGAGTAGAYGAGGAGGGGGGTGTGATTAAGCCCTTCAAGGGCCCAAGTTCCGAAATTAAYGGGCCAAGAAGAGTGTGTRAGGTGGGTGTGGTAAGCTTGACAGAAAAKAGCGCATGGGAGAGAAGCGGGAGGGTGAAAACGAGAATCTCGGAAGCGAGCGACGAATCATTCGGCTATTTGTTCTTTTCCRTARAAGGAWACTGCCMAGCGAGCTCTCAGTGCCTTCCTTTAACCCTATATTCCTTCTCTTCCGGCGGATACTGATCACCTCTCCTCCTACCGTTAAAAGCACGGAATATACACTTCCCCTTCCCCCTTTTCCTACTCTTCCCGGTTTCCGCTTTTGTGCCGGAAAAAAAAAAAARAAAAAAAAAAAGAGCAGACTGTAGAACACTGCGTTTCAATGGCGAAAAAGCTATCTCCGGGAACTTGCCTCTCCGGACTGTCCCTTTCTCCCTTACCTAGCTCCTCGCACTTTCCGCCTTTCTACAGAAAACGATCCGAGCATAGATCACTGCGTTCCAGGGGCTAGATAGCTTTCCTTGGGCGCTCGTCTGTCCGACCTATTTAGGAGCGAAACCAAGCAGCTTACTACACTTGCAAAGCATAAGATTCATCACCTCACAGTGGTGACAGCATGTCGCCTTGCCAAGGCCGACTATACGCTGTAAAGCACCCAGGCACACGAGCGTCCCAACCTGATGTCAAAAGTGCCCTGCTTTCCCGAAGCTAACAAGAATGAGCTTCGCACACAAACGCTCACTTGTACTTTCGTGACTGCA